CCTGCCTCAGCCTCCTGAGTAGCTGGGATTACAGGCATGTGCCACCATGCCCAGCTAATGTTTTGTATTTTTAGTAGAGACGGGGTTTCACCATGTTGACCAGGATGGTCTCGATCTCTTGACCTTGTGATCCACCCGCCTCGGCCTCCCAAAGTGCTGGGATTATAGGCGTGAGCCACCGCGCCCGGCCTGATCCATATTGTTTTTAGCAGGTATTTGATTATTTAAGAAAACTGAGTATTCTCAATATTAAAAGAGCTAGCTTTATTTATTTATTTGTTACAGTAACATCACTTTTTCTATTTGCCTTTGAAATCTTTTGTTATTTTTGGTATTCTTTCACAATGACCTGTGGCTATACTTAATGATTTATTTAAATCATTTGATATTTTCAACAAACTTCCCAAATAAGATTATAAATTAAATATTTTGATCTCAATTAACTTTGGAATTTCCCAAATGAGACCCTAAAATAGCTAAAGAGAATTTGTTTTATCTCTTTTAAAAAGAGAGATGTTATGCTAATGAGCTTATTTGGTATGTAAAATTGAATGAGAAATATTGTTCAGTAAAATCAATGTTTACTTTGATATACTTTTAGAAATATATGTGATTAATATAAGTATTCTAGAATTTTATCATTTTTCTAGAACTCTAATATGTTCTAAAATATTGTGCTCAGTTATAATTCTAATTATCTCATGTTGTATGAAACACAATTAAAAAATTCTGTGTAAATTGCATTGTAATAAACTCTTAACAAATATGTAACCTTGGCCATTTAAACATGTTTTGTAATTCACAGTTTATTGTTTTTTACTGATGCTATCATACAATTTTTGGAAGTTGTTGTGATATAAAATCTCAATACATACATGGAAAAGGACTCGACAAGTAAAGACTTCTGATAATTATAAAGTCACAATATTGAACAAGATTTAAATCAACTCTTTTAGCAATTTGTTTAAGTATACCACTTATGAATAGAATAAACATAATTACCTTTTTCTCCTTAGCTAATCTATCCTGAATTCAGAAACTATCACTGAATATTTATTTTCATGACAATGTAGGTATTTGGAAAAGTTTATTAAGAATCTGTTCTTCTTATAACATAACACATTGGAAAACATTTGTTATGTTTCCAGAACTTTGATGAGAATGTCATATTTCAGAATAAGCGTAGAATTAGAAATGACTGGACAGTTTTGTGGAACTAGGAATTAACTTTATGAAGCCCATTAAGACTTGCCTTAGTCCATTTAAAGTTGCTAGAAATATGTGAGGTTGGGTAATTTATGTCAAAAACAGATTTATTTGGCTCACAATTCTTCAGGCTGTACAAGAAGCATAGTGCCAACATCATCTACCTATAGAGGATTCAGCCTGCTTCAGTCATAGCAGCAGATTGGTGGAGCTGGCATGTGCAGTGATCACATGGTGAGAAAGGAAGGAAGAGATAAGGGAGGAGATTCCAGGCTCTTTTTAACAACCACCCCTCAAGGAAACAAAGAATGTAAGAATTGCATTACCATGAAAATAGCAACACAATTCACTAGGAATTTTGGTCCTTGACTCACACATCTATTCTTTTTCACCTCCCACATTTGATTCAGATTTCAACATGAGATTTGGATTGGCCTATCAAGTCAAACAATAGAAAGTTTCTCAAGAAAAACTGGCCTGATATCTGCTCACAGCGTTCAAACCTTCTTGGCTGAGAGGAAGGTCACTTTCCAGAAGGACTAGGAAACTGAAAAATCATTTATAAAGTGTCATTCAATAACACACAACACGGTGAAATATTTTTATTTGCTTTATGCTAACATTATTCAATTACGATATGAACATGATTAAAATTTCTTAAATGCTGTTGAATAACATTAGGAATATATTTATTAGTTTACTAGGTGCTAACACCTTAGGTCATTAAAGTGCTAGGACTTTGCAAAATCTTTGAATGCTGACAAAACATAGACACCTCTAACTTGCACAACCTTAGTGACAATTTTAGTAAATAGAGAAGAGAGATGATATGATATCTAAACATTTCTTTTGAACATTTTTGTGAATGAATCTATTACTTTCTTGTTTCTCAGGCTGTAGATGATAGGGTTAAATAAAGGAACTATGACAGTGTAAAATAGCGACGCCATCATATCTTGGTCATTTGCTTGTGGGGATGCAGAGCCCAGATACTTGAAGGCAAGGGGGCCATAGTATAAGGATACAGATAAGAGATGAGCTCCACACGTGGAGACAGCTTTTCGTATACCTTTGATAGATTTCTTTTTTAAGATTGTTAAGAGGATAAGTGTATAAGATACAAGAATAGTTCCAATGGTAAAAACTTGAATTGAACCTGAAAAAATAAAAATCATTAGAAAGTTAATAAAGGAATTAGTACAGGTAATCTTTAACAATGGGATAATGTCACAGTAAAAGTGTTGTATTATGTTGGAATTACAGAAGGTTAGTCTGAATAAAAAACCTTCATGGATTAAGGCATGAAGAAGGCCACCTAGAAATGAAAAGACCAATAGCCTAATGCATAGTTCGTTTGTCATAATGACTGGATAAAGTAATGGTTTGCATATGGCTACATAGCGATCATATGCCATTGTTGCCAAGATAAAACATTCTGTGGTTACAGTCATTCCAAAGGAAAAAAACTGTATCATGCATTCAGAGAAAGATATCATCTTACTCTTAGCTAAGAAGTTGATTAGCATCTTCGGAGTCACTGTGGATGATAACAAAACGTCCACAAAAGCTAAATTCCCAAGGAATAAGTACATTGGAATATGAAGGTGAGGGTCATTCCAGATGAGAAAAATTAGACCAAGATTCCCCATGATTGTGATGATATATATTACCAAGAATGCCAGGAACAGCAGTATTTTACAGTCAGGTTGATGTAAAAATCCCGTGAGAACAAACGCTGTCAGCAATGTTACATTTTCCTCTTCCATCTCCTCACTGTATGTCCTCTAAAAAATGAAGCAAATGTAAAGGAACATTTGCAATGGAATTGTGAATTGAAATTAGGTAAGAGGTATTGAAGTAAACTAAGTAATGATCAGAGCCCTCTTAATTTTTTTGATCAGTAATATAATTGATGAACTCTATATTTAAATATTTAAATACATGGAAAAAATAATACACTTTGGTTTGAAAATTGTGTGGAAGTTAACAGATTGATATTTTAAAAGATGCATTATCTGAATGTACTACATTTCTGTGGGCTTTACTGAATGTAATAGAAAAAAATCTCTCTGGGACACAGAAGTAGGGTCAAGGAAAAATATATTTGAAACACCTGGGTTAAAATAAATGGAACAAATGCCATGTGAAGATCTCAAACCTTACTTTTCACACAATAAACATGCACCAAATATTTTAAGATGGGAAATCATATAATAATATATTTTTAAAATGTAGTTCTTTATAGTGTAAAAGTATTCTGCAGGAAGGAAACACTGACTCAGGAATCCTAATTAGAAACTAGATACTAAGGTCAAGGGCATTCCAAATCAGATTACACATGAGAATCATCTGGGAGAGTTTCTGTTTTGTTTTGTTCTGTTTTGTTTTTGTTTTCGTATTTTAAGAAAAATACAGGTTGTGAGGTTTCAACACAGAAATCGATTATTTCAGAAATGAGGTCTAGGAATCTGTATTGTGAAAATACCCTCAAGGTGATTTAAATGCATGTCAAGTCTCTATTCCCTGTATGAAATGACTTTAGAAGACATGCTAAGAAAAATGAATAGATTCAAAGGAATTCAAAATGTAGAGTATCTAGTATTGTGTGACATATTTGGTTTGAAATATGTGGTCAGTGAAAAAGAGAGAAATTACTTGGTGACTGGTAGATGGACATTAGATATTGAGGATGAGAACTTGGATTGATGACAAGTTTTTGGAGTGAGCATAATGCCTGAACAACTAGGTGGGATTCAATCAGTAATATGGGTCTATTATAGCTTAATAGAAGTCATTACCTGGAATCATTGTAGAATTTGAAGGCATTGTTAGAAATTATGTGCAAAGTGGGTATACAATGTAAGATTGCCAAGATGTAGTCCTCTTTTTTGCCACCCAAGTCTTAGGGGTTGTCAGAGGTTACCTACTACTCTAGAAGCTAAAAGAACTAGAAACTCATTTTCCCATTTTTCTTGCCTCTAGAGAGAACAAACAGTGATCTAGGATGGCAATGAAACACACTGATTCTACATTTGGAATATGGATAGAAGAAGAAAAAAAGATCAAAAGTGGATTTTAGTTGTAAATTCAGCCATGGCAGAAATGCCATGAATCCACTAAATATATCCTTCATTTACATAAATAACGTGAATATCATGAGCTGTCAAATTATGGCCAGAAGTGGGTATAAGAATACAAGCGTTAATTTTTAAGGGACCTTAACAGTTTTTGTCCAAGAATGTAAATAATGAAAAAGAATGAGTATTTCTATCAGAATAATCTGAAAAATTCTTAGAGTTATCATGATCAAACCAGTCTCATTTGTTTAATATCCTGGATCACAACAAGTTTTCATATAAAGTCATAAGGTTAACAAAATAATAAAATATCATTAAAGGAACCATTTTGTCTTATAACTGTTTATCCTACCCATGCTATAGTCTTGAAACTAAAGTATAGAATAAGCCAGAAATAGTTATCTAATTTCAATCTGGCTGTTAGGACAGGTTTTATATCCAATCTAAAATTATAGTACATTAAATAGCATTTTCAACATTTCTACAAAGTGTAATGAAAATTACAGATATTTTTTCTTTCTTACCCATATTTTGAAAGAAATTTAGGAGATGCTTTAAAACCATTAGGCTTTCTAAAACAGAAAAAAAAAAGTGCACAGGAATACTAATAGCACACGTAGCAATCCATTGCATATTCATTCTTTTCAGAGGCTTCTTTTCCCAAGCTCAGGAAGCTATTGTTTATATAACTTTGGATTGAACAGAAGAGTCATTCAGTTGTACAACTCTGTACTTTTGCCAGAAAATGATTGAGTGGAAAACTGAAATTCTCATAAGGGTTTCAGGGATTCCCTGTGGAACAAACTGAAGATGTTCTAGTATGTATTGTGGACTTGGACATATATGAGAAGTCCAGATTGTCCCAAAGGAAATCACAAACTTCTGGAAACATAACCATCCTTTCATTGTAGACACTTCTAGTTTTAACAATTGAAATAATATTTTATGCACTGTTTAGTAACATAGATGACACTTCTGCCATGTTTGTACAAACTTTAGTTTACATGTGAAATTTATTCTTGGTGCTTTGATTAGTGTAATCTTGTCTGAGCTAATCAAACCATAATTTTAATAAGGTCAAAGTTTCTGATTCCCTTCAGGAGACAAACACAAATACAGATGTCTTCCCCATGCAAATTGTAGCTCAAATTTTAGACATATTCCTAGCTATCCCATTTTATGCTAAAATCTGATGGAAAATATTATTATACAAAGGTCAAGGGATAAGCCAATGAAAACCAAAGACAAGAACTGCAGTGGGAGGTGCCTTAGAACTTTGCTTCTCAAGTTATAATAGCTAAAATATGTCTAAATGCATATTTGGTTTTAATAATTCTGGTGTGAGTCTCCCAGGAGCCTTTATTTCCAAATGAAATAATGTCCATGGACTTTTGCCACTCAACAGGCCTTCATCATGGGAGGACCTGAATTATCAGAGAACCTTGATCATTGGAGAAACAATAAATAGCAAATGTGGCTGGTATGCAAAGAGAGGAGGCGGGAAGGGCCAGATGTGTTCAGGGAGGCCAGCATGAGTACATTTTCAAGGAACCTTGGAGGGTAGTTCAGGGCTTTGTTCTTTACCCCAACTTACAAAAAAATCATTGAAGGATTATTGAAGGATTTTGAAAATGGTGGTAACATGTTCAGAATTTTCTTTAGTACTGTTAATACAGAATTAAGAGAGAAATATGCTAATGAGCATTCATTCAGAAAATAGAATCTAATGTACTTACTTGTAATATTTATATCCATATTTGCATTTTCTTGACAATGATATGACTCTTTAAAGAAAGAAGGAAACTTCCTCTTGGAAAGATGTAGGATAGGAAGCTCTACTTCTCTCTACCCTGGCTACCTATACTCCCCTGCAATGACACCAAGTTTGTGTACATCTACACAGAAAAAAACTACCTTCATAAGAACCAGAAGTCAAGTGAGCACACACAGTATCTGGTTTTAATGTCATAGTTCTGAAAGACATAATGAAATGATAGAAAAAAAAACAGTCCTGAATCAGCAACACCACACCTCTCCCAACCCCCAGCAGCAGTATGGTGCCGAAAGACTTACTGACCGTGTGGGAGGGAGAACACAGCTATTTTTTTTTCTTTTTTTTTATTATCGCATTTTAGGTTTGGGGGTACATTTGAAGAACATGCAATATAGTTGCATAGGTACACACATGGCAGTGTGATTTGCTGCCTTCCCCCCCTTCACCTGTATCTGGCATTTCTCCCCATGCTATCTCTCCCCAACTCCCCACCCACCACTGTCCCTCCCCTATTTCCCCCCAACAGACCCCAGTGTGTAGTGCTCCCCTCCCTGTGTCCATGTGTTCTCATTGTTCAACACCTGCCTATGAGGGAGAACATGTGGTGTTTGATTTTCTGCTTTTGTGTTAGTTTGCTGAGAATGATGGTTTCCAGGTTCATCCATGTCCCTACAAAGGACACGAACTCATCGTTTTGATGGCTGCATAATATTCCATGGTGTATATGTGCCACATTTTCCCTGTCCAGTCTATCATTGAAGGGCATTTGGGTTGGTACCAGGTCTTTGCTATTGTAAACAGTGCTGCAATGAACATGTGTGCATGTGTCCTTATAGTAGAACGATGTATAATCCATTGGATATATACCCAGTAATGGGATTGCTGGGTCAAATGGGATTTCTATTTCTAGGTCCTTGAGGAATCGCCACACTGTCTTCCACAATGGTTGAACTAACTTACACTGCCACCAACAGTGTAAAATTGTTCCTATTTCTCCACATCCTCTCCAGCATCTGTTGTCTCTAGATTATTTAATAATCACCATTCTAACTGCCTTGAGATGGTATCTCAATGTAGTTTTGATTTGCATTTCTCTAATGACCAGTGATGATGAGCATTTTTTCATATGTTTGTTGGCCTCACGTATGTCTTCTTTTGTAAAGTGTCCTGTTCATATCCTTTGCCCACTTTTGAATGGGCTTGTTTTTTTCTTGTAAATCTGTTTTAGTTCTTTGTAAATTCTGGGTATCAGCCCTTTGTCAGTTGGACAGACTGCAAAAATTTTTTCCCATTCTGTTGGTTGCTGATTCACTCTAATGACTGTTTCTTTTGCTGTGCAGAAGCTGTGGAGTTTGATTAAGTCCCATTAGTCTATTTTGGCTTTCGTTGGCAATGCTTTTGGTGTTTTGGTAATGAAGTCCTTGCCTATGCCCTGAATGGTTTTGTCTAGATTTCCTAATAGGGTTTTTATGGTGTTAGGTCTTATGTTTAAGTCTTTAATCCATCTGGAGTTAATTTTAGTGTAAGGTGTCAGGAAAGTGTCCAGTTTCTGCTTTCTGCACATGGCTAGCCAGTTTTCCCAACACCATTTATTAAACAGGAATCTTTCCCCCATTGCTTGTTTTTGTCAGGTTTGTCAAAGATCTGATGGTTGTAGATATGTTGTGTAGGCTCCGAGGCCTCTGTTCTGTTCCATTGGTCTATATCTCTGTTTTGGTACCAGTACCATGCTGTTTTGATTACTGTAGCCTTGTAGTGTAGTTTGATGTCTGGTAGGGTAGGATGATGCCTCCCGCTTTGTTCTTTTTGCTTAGAATTGACTTGGCTATGCAGGCTCTCTTTTGGTTCCATATGAAATTTAAGGTGTTTTTTTCCAGGTCTGTGAAGAAGGTCATTGGTAGCTTGATGGGGATAGCGTTGAATCTGTAAATTACTTTGGGCAGTATGGCCATTTTCATGATATTGATTCTTCCTAACCATGAACATGGAATGTTTCTC